ACAAACAGACAGACATAAAAATGAGCTCGTTTCTTTATACCTCCAACTGGGTCTAGAGTGTGTCTGGGAGCGACTCGATTCCCGGTCAGGGAACCAAATGTTGGACTCTAGCATCCAAACACCGAGGAGGAGTCACCCCCAGAGACCATCTCATACACTACAGCCGATGCAAAAGCATGAGGATTTTATTAATTCTGTCATGACAGGGTCCCCCAGCATTCGGAAAGCCTAGGGACCTCAAATAGCGGGTACAGTCTACTTTTAAAGGGGCCACAGAAGCAATGGGGGGTTGTTCTTTGACTATTCTGATTGGCTTATTTGAAAGGGCTATTACCAATAATTGACTGGAGAGCTGTTGCCAGATCAGATGAGGTAAGAGGTCATTTTGACCCCGTTTCCCAGGGGACCGAACCAAACAAAGCATACGTATTTGGGTAATTGTTCAGGAACTGAGTACGTGCCAGTGTAGCTGTTAGGTCTTTGGTTCCCAGAGGAGGAGGGGAAGCACTATGGCACAGAGGCTGAGAGGATTCAGAATTGTCAAAAATGGCTTCAGGATTGTCTTAAAGTCTTACAGTTGGAAGTAAAGAACTTCCTTTGGGTGAACTGCCTATACTTAGCTTATAATGGCTGGTCCCCACAAACACAGTCAGTAAACTGAGCCTCAAAAACTCTGAAAGGCTCTGACCCTTGTCCTGGTGGATAGTTTTCAGTTCACATGAAGAACTTGAGGACGTTAAACACAGGCTGAGAATAAAGCCATCACTCAACGCCATACCTCAACTTCTAGATCCTTTGTAACTCCCGACAAGGGGACTGAATAGAACCAGTTCTTCTTGGAGTCCGCAAGCAGGGGCAAGTAGTAGGAAAAGTTCACAGCAATTCATACAGAATTAGGATGAATACCCCACCAGGATTCGGAAACAGGGTGCCAGGGAACATTTTTACCCGATAAACTTTTGGGAACTTCCGGGAGTGGGAGATTTGTTTCCGAGGGGACGGTCTTTCTGTACGGACTGAAGACTGCTGGTGAGTTCCGCCTGCGCGAATGGCAGCTCTTTCTCCGCCGTCACAGTTTTGTTGACCTTGTGTCAATCTCCTGTCGCCAGTGTTTGTCGCGAGCCCCCCCCCCCCCC